GGCCTCCAAAGCGTGCATGTATTGACCCGCATAGACTATCAACTACAACATGCCCAGACAGTCTCGGGTATGGTCGGCAATCAATATGCACCAATTGACTATACATCAGACCTCTGAAAGCGTGCATATTGACTTGCGTGAGCTATATCTACTACAACATGCCAGAAAGTCTCGGCCATGGTCGTCAGTCAATCTGCATCCATTGACTATACATCAGACCTCTAAAAGCGTGCATATTGACTTGCGTGAGCTATATCTACTACAACATGCCAGAAAGTCTCGGCCATGGTCGTCAGGCAATTTGCACCCTTTGACTATACATCAGAGCTTCAAAACCCGTGCATTTCTACTCGCTTCTGCTATCAACTACAACGTGCCAGGAAAGGTCCCGGACATGGTTGCCCGTCAATTTGCACCAATTGACTATGCATCAGAGCTTGAAAGCCCATGCATTTTAACTTGTTTCTGCTGTTAACTACAACGTGCCAGGAAAGGTCCCAGGCATGGTCGGCAGTCAATTTGCACCAATTGACTATACATCAGTCATCCAAAAGCGTGCATATTGACTCGCGTGAGCTATCCACTACGTTGCCAGAATATGCCAGACAGTCTCGGGCATGGTCGGCAGTCAATTTGCACCCATCGACTATATAGTAGACTCGCTTCAAAGCCCGCGCAATTCTACTCGATTCCTACATGCCAAAAAGTCTCGGGTATGGTCAGCAGTCAAGTTGCACCAATCGACTATACATCAAACCTCCAAAAGCGTGCATATTGACTCACGTGAGCTTTTCACTACAACATGCCAGAACGAGTGACTCGGGGGCATGGTCGGCAGTCAAATTGCACCCATTGACTATACATTAAAGCTTGAAAGCCCGTGCATATTGACTCGTGCAAGCGATTACAACATGCCACAAAGAGGGCATGCTTTAAAGAGGCAAAGAACTATTTGCGGACACGGCAAGCAACGCGGTTAGATGGAAAAAAAAGCAACCGGTGCGTAATCCAGACACTACCAAGGTCTACAAGAGACTGACAATTGAATCATATGTACACTCCTAAAATACATAATGAAAGTGTCTGGATCTATGCAGCTTCTCTCCAAAAATCACCACCTTTACAACCTAATTATGCACTCCTCTGCAGCCCCTACTCCTGGATCGTATGAACCGTATCGCTCATGCAAGCCCCTATAGATTGCAGGCGTCAAGAGGTGGGGAGAGATGAATTTGTTGTTGCTCTTTTTTGCCAGCTGGAGCTCAACTCCGAGGCCCGCTCTAAGAACTTTCCCCACTGCATTACGCTTTTGAGCCTTTCTCTCATTGTTCCCTGTTTCGGCCGTTTTTGAGGAGCGCCTGGAGATCTGCTGCACAAAGCCGTACAGGTTGAAGATGGTCTTCAGCTGCTCTTTGCTGAATCCGATGAACCTCGCATAGGCGGCCTGCACGCTTTCCTCCGAGACCTCCCACAGCTCCGCTCCATGGTCTAGCTGCTCCTCTTCGCAACCGACTAGGAAGGCAAGGATGCGGGCCGCAAACGGCACGCGGTTGAGGGGGTCGCGGACGACCTTGACGTACTCCTGGACCACGCCGAACTCGTTGACTTGGCCCAGCGCTCTGTCCAGATCGCCGGCGAGGGTGGCGAAGCGGTGCTCACGAAATCTGCATAGCGCAATCATCGTTAGGGGGCAGCAAATAGAAAGATTCGACTCATTGCAGTGAGGGCACAGAAAGACGCTCTGGCTTCAGACATGTGCTACACTCTTCAAACCCAAACGTCCACATTTAGCCGAAGTGAAGGGTGCAGAAGAGTTTTGACATTTGCTCGAGCGGCAACGCGCGGCCGCTTGAGAAGCTCACCTAAGGTAGTTTGCGTGAGCCTCTTTCGTCTTCTCTGCTTCGTCCGTATCAGCGCAGGAGCGAAGGTAGAAGCTGTGATCAACCCGCCTAGGGTCGACCTTGTACTCATTTGTAACCATCTCGAGCAGATACTCCTGGAGCTGCTCCCTCTGACTCAACTCCTCCGGCCTCTCGCACAAACGCTCGTACTGGTCCACGTTGATGATGTATCTGGCGCGCCAGTCTTCGTCATTCAGAAGCTCTGGGTCCGGATCAAAGCCGAGAGGCACCTCTGGAGGTGGACGCCCAAGGTTGCCCTGGAAAGTAAAAGGGTGAGAGTTTGATTCTCTTGCAGACGCAAACGCGATATAGCCTCAAAGGATTGGTATGCATGTCTCCTTACTCTCAAATCGAGCCATAACTTGTCTTGAAATCTTGATCTCTGAAAGGTATATGACAATGGATCACATAACAAAATAACATGTCTGAAACGTCCAGTCACCTTCTGGAAGCTTTGATTATCCGGTGGCCCCTGCCTTGCAAGCTTTTTTCCAATGAACTGAAGCAGCCTAGTCAATTCTTGACGCCAGTGCAAATTGACTCGACCCCTTTCCTCTTGTCGTTCCGGTGCCCAGAAAGCCCTTGGACAGAGGCTGTCAATTGCATCTCCGGTTCTATACAGTCGCCCTAGTGCGAATCGACTCAACCTCTTGATCTCGACTAAGCACTTCAAAACCGAATGAGTTTGCAACACAAGGAAGCTGAAGCTGCTTCGAACGTTCGGCAATCTCACCCTTGGTTCGATGTGCTCAACCGTCACCTCGTAGCCCTGCTTCTCTAGGTCGGCCTTCAGCTTCGGCACGAACTCCAGATAGCTTTCCACCTTTGCGAGGATGTTGTTTGCGTACAAGACGCAGCTCGCTGAGGATCGGTCACAGATGCCACGCGAGCCCCTCAGGAAATGGAAGCCTGAGGCGTCGCCGAGCATCTTGACAATCTGTCTGTCGTCCCGCTCGATCGCCTGGAAGACCGCCTCGGTAGAGCGCGGCAGATCCACTGCTGACGAGACCACCTGCTTGTAGTCGATGGTGGAGTTGGTGACCGTCCGGAAGCGAGCGTGCTGCTGGAGAAGCGTCTCAACATCAGGCCCGTTGAGGCTGTTAAGAGCGAAAGCGACCGTCTCCTCGGCGTACGGCTTCTCTTTTGAAACGCCGGGGCCGAGTTTTGGAGAGAAGGCCACGCAGTCCGCCTCCAAGAAGGTGTCTGGCTCGGCCATTGCCTTCTGGAAGAAGTCCTCATCGGCCTTCGACCTCTTGTCGGCATGAAGAAAGATGCCGCGCTTTTGGGGCTCGGCGGGCGGGAACTCGACGTTGAAATGATGTTCAAGGTGTTTCACGAAGCGCTTGGAGGTCGAAGGGCACTGCATAAGGAGGGCGGAGCAAGTTGTTGGCTTGGACAAAAAGGGGATGTGCATTTGTCTAACAAAGACTCATCGCAAACCAAGCCCCGAATAAGCGGACCCCAATAGTCCGGCCGCAATCTGAGAATGGTCTTGACCACAGCCTTTGGAGGCAGCTCAAAGAAGTTGGGCCCACAACTCTTCAACAGCAGCCTGGAAAGAGCCTGTTCGTGGGCCCAATCGATCGCATATGCATCCCCGAATAGCCTGATTGCAGCTCGAAACCCAGCCTCCAAACCCAGGCCTACCACAATGGTGAAAATCAAGGCTGATTGCAGCCGCAAATCAGTCTGACCACAGCCCCAAGTACAGACCCACAAGCCCATTTCAGCGTGACCACACTCCAAGCAGCTTGAATGCCTACTCAACCTCGTGCAACAAACTTGGGAGCAGCACGAAGATATGCCCTTTCGAGATCATAGGCCAGCTCGTTCCGCTGTTAACAGCGAGAGCGGCTGATTAGTTCCCAAAAAACTCAGAGACAACTCACAACAACTTTCGTGCCTCGGGCGACACGGTCCAACACATCCTGCACGGCGGTGCCGATACATTCGAGCGACTCGCTCGCTTGCGAGAAGACCCGGATGGTCGCACGCCTCGCCGCTGGATACAAGCCTCTATTTCGAATGGTGTGGAGAGCCGCATCCGGGCGTGCCATGAAGAGGTATTCCATGACCCGCGCGCAATCGATGTTGGCGTCCATGCCAATGACAACCTTCGCGCCCGCCACGAACGCCTCGAGGCAGGACAGCACCCTGCCCCGTTGGGTCATGACCTCGGAGTTGAGGTTCGTGAGCACCATGTCCATCTCGTCCATCCCCACGACGTCCATCTTGAATTGCACGCGGTGGATAGAGTTGATGCAGCAGACGACACGGGGACCGTTGATAGGCCCCGGAGGCGCCTCCTGGTAGAGCACGACGTCCTTCACGCCCGCGTCGACTAAGTCCTGGTGATACTTTCGGGAAAGAGAGATGTTAGCTCCGATGAGGAGGAAAGAAAGGCCGGGATTCTTCCCGACCATGGCCACTGCCCAATCCATGAACGCTTTTGATTTTCCCACCCCCTTCTTGGCGGAAATCAGCATGGTCCGCTTGCGGACGTGCTCGATCTCAAAGACGGGGTAGGGTCGCATTCCCAGATTCTCCTCGTAGTCTTCCGTCCAGCCGAACGTGGTGAGCATGTCCAGGGGCAGCATCCGGCACTCGCCCCTGCAAAAAGGAAGCGTAAGGTGCGCTTGAGAACGTGTAGAATTTTCCGAGAAGACTCGGGCGGCTCAGCTTGAACACCCCCTTAGGCCCACGCTGAAGTACTTTCCGGCCGCTCAATCTGTTAAGGCCCAGATCCAGCCTGATGTGCCCCCAAAATCTCCTCGACCAAGCCTCATGTAAACCGACGCTGTGACCGTGGTCTAGGAAGTACATCAGGCTCGCACCAAGCATCGGACTGGTCAGCCCTACTCACTCACACGAAATCAGCCCGATTCCGAGCAAGGCAGATGAGGTGCGTCCCAACTCTTTCTGGCCCCTGAACCCCTGATCCAAACCCAAAAGGAGGCCCACAAGAGGCCCAGGTGCAGGAGCCCCTGAACCGGCCTAACTTCTGAAGCAAATCAACCCTAAAACACAACCGAACAATGAAAGTTGCCCTGAAGACAGATCCTAACGTCAATCTAATCTCGCGCCCAAATACAGCGTTGTTAAGAACACCCAAAGCTGATCGGCTGCTGCCCCTGAAACAACCCCAAAAGCAGGCCCCCCGACACACCCACGGCAAAACTCACATCAGGCTCTAAAGCAGCTTGACTTCTGGCCGTACGAGTCAACCTGATTGCACACCAAACAGATGGACCGCAGCCCTGAGACTGGCCCCAAAGAAATGAAAGAACAGCGTTTGACTTTGCACCAAGAACCAGTCTGACTGCTTGCACAGACCCCGAAAACAGAATTGACCCAACCCAAACGATAGCAAAACGTCTGGTCGACCTGACCGCACCTTGCAAACAAATCAGAGCGCGCCCTAAAACCAGCCCAGAAAGGGGCTTTGTTAGCTCGATCGCACTTGAAACTGACAGGTTGCCGTACAGACTCCGGACTCGACAATCTGCACCTTCTTGATGTCTGTTTCTCTGAAAACCGGTTGCGCAAATTGACGGCATTTGGGAAGCGCTTCTAAGTCTCTGCTCACCGCCAGAAATTCACCTGCAGCTTACTGCCAGAGGACTCACCTGCAGCTGTTTGCAAAGCACTGATAGCGTGCGATGCGCGGCTCGTTCCTTCTGTAGATGAGGTACGGATTCTGGTTGCCCAAGGATGTGTGACGCCTTCCCGCAATGCAGCACGTGGGCTCCGGCGCTTGGAAGAGAACGAAGAACACCACCGGCCGCTCCTGGACCACCCGGCTGATTTCGGCCCCTGCGTGGTCCTCCTGGTAGCGGGCGAGGAGAATGGCCCGCTCCTGCTCCGAAAGGTCCTCGGCGCCGGGGCCCTGTGAGGTGCTCGCCTCTTCGAGGGTGAGCGCCCTCTGTCGGAAGGGCCCCACGCGGGGCGGGGCCAGGGGGGCAGGCCTCGCGATCGCCCACTCCCCGAGGAGGGCGGCGCTGACCTCGGTGGAACCAGCCACTTCCGCTTCCGAGTACAAGCAGACCAGGTGGTCCGCAATCGCCTCGGAGCTGCCCTCCAATGGGACGAGGGGACGGAAATTGTCCCCAAACTTAGACGACCTTAGCAACCGGAAGCAACGGCGCCGCCCATAGACCGATCCGTCCCAGATATAGTCGGACCCGCCCACTTTCCGCATGAGCTCGACACTCGCTTTCAGATCGTCTGGGGGATCCTCCAAGAAGGACCCAAAGGCCTTCCCGAACGCCCTCCTGGCGTCCGATCCCCTCAGATAAAACCCCTCCAGAACCTCGTGCACGCTGAACTTAAAACCCTGCTTCGGGGGCCGCGCCGGCCCGTGCGCCTTGCACGCTTGAAAACGAAGCGCACCCCTGGGAACGTTGAGCACCGAGGTCAGGAACCGGTCTCTGACGAGGTGGAATGCTGCCAGGCGCCGCTCAAAGTCGTTGAAATCCTCGGTGGCGATCGAGAAGTCCAGGTCAAAGTAGACGCGCCAGCGGGCGTCGTCCTGAATGACTTCATACAGGTGAGCGGGTCGCGCGAGCGGCCCCCGAAACGCTGCCAGGGCTGCGACGTCCTTGAAACTGCCCCAGCGCTTTGCCCCTTCCTCGTTTATGTCCTGAGCCACAACGATCGCATGGCCCTTCGCTCGCTGCTGCCGGAGCGCCAACTCAAGCTTCTTCAACCAGCCGGGCCCGCTGTCCTCGACCGACGCAGCCTGAGGGGGATCCCCAGGCAGCTGCGTGAGTGGCTCGGTGGGCGGAAGCGCAGACGACGGCTCTACGGACGGCTCGGCTGCAGTGGGTCGTCTTGCCTCCGTTGCCGAGGGCTGATTTGGCAGGTCAGGCGCAAGCCCCTGGTCGACGGACGCAAGCGCTTGCTCCTGGTGGGCGTGGGAAGGGGAAGGGGTGACTGAAGGGAGCTGACCGGGGACCTCGGGCAGTGGGTTTTCTTCCGGGAGCGGGGCTATGACGAGGGGCTCCTGGGGCTGGTCAGCGGGGGGCGGAGAGGGTGGGCGCCCAGCGGGGAAGGGGGGCGCATCATGGGTTTCCGAGAGGGAGGGAGGCAAACCCGCATCCACATCCACAGGCGGCTGGTCGGCCGGCGGCGACGGCGGGGCCCGTTCGTCTTCCACGACCTGTGGAGAGGGGGCTGCTGTGGGGGGCTGCGCTGCGCTCGGGGCGGGGTCTTCACCCTGGGAAGGGAGGACGGAAGAGCGCAGAGGGGAAGAGGGGCTCGAGTCCTGGTCCATGGTGTGGGCCGAGGCATCTCCCGTCCTACGTGGAACCCCTAGGGGTTGCGTGCGCCCATACCGTTTGAGCCGCTCCTCTCGCGCGGCTGCCTCTTCAGCGTCCCGCTTGGCCTTCAGACGGTCGACCAGGGTCCCGACGTTTGAGATGGGAGCGTCCGTCACCAGCGCCTGCGCCAAAGAACCAATCATTAGAAAGGGTCAAAGAGGCTTGAGGCTTGCACCCTACAACGCCCCTGTTGCCAGCCGGGCCGCATCTTTGACAGCAACTCAATTTCAGAAGAAAGCGCTCTAGCTACACCGGGCTGCTTGCCTACCCAAGACAAGCCTGACTGCGTCTCCAAATCAGCTTGAGAACAGCCCCAAATCAGCCCCAAACCAGCCCCAGAGCAAACCAACAAACCCGGAACCAGCCTGACCGTGGCCTCCGAACCCAACGTGAGCGGCGGCCCCAGAAACCAGGCCCATGTGCAGCAGACCTGAAGCCAACCTAATCACGCCCCCCTCCCCAAGAAAAGCCTGCCTGCAACCCCTGATCAGCTTGACCACGGCCCCAAAACGGGTGCCCAGAGCAGAACCAAAAAACAACCTAATCGCGCCCTCAAAAACAGCCTAGATCTGGTGGAGCTTAAAAGTCTGAATTGAACTTGCACAAAAAATCAAGCGAGGTCAATAGCGGCAATCAGATACGGACACATAAGTCTACTCCAACCTCTGCAGGAAGAAGGCATGGCAACTTACGAGGGGGGACCGTGCATGAGTCGCGCCTTGAAAATCACCCAGCTCCGTTTAATGAACGATTTGCCCCTTGCACTGCGTTCTCGAGGGCCTCAATGCCCCCACAGCTTGGAGATGAGCTGCCGCAGCCGCTCGACCGGCCTCTCGAGCCGCCTCGTCCCTGAGGACCGGATTCGATTTCGCGCATTTGCTGCAGAGTAAATGAATTCAGGTCAGCACGGAAGTTCTCGCAGCACTGGACAGAACTGGTTGGATTGCTGCTGGGAAAAGCATCAGATGATCTAGCGCAGTCTGATGAATCCCGCCATGATCTAAAAGAGTGCCCTCGCTATGTGCAATATTCAGGAAGCACCACCTGATGGCAGAAGAGTCACTTTTGCACACGAAAGAATGGAGACAAGCGACACTGGGCCAACGAGCTCACCGTCGCTTCTTCTGAACCGGCCGACCAGTCTTTGGCGCCGCAGACGTCGACGCCCTTGCTTCGCCGCCCTCGTTCTGTACCCAAAGGCGACCGGGTTGGCAAACGGGTAAAATTGGTAAAAGGAGAGCATCCGCAATCGTCGCAGTAAACCGCCGCTGGTTTGTGTAATAAGCTGGATCTCAGGAAAGTGAAAGCAGATTGTAATCCACTTGAGCTGGCCAACGTGGTTTGTAAAACACGATGCCAAGAACCAGCCCATGAAGCAATAGACATGAGGGGCATGCGAGTGGTACTTTTCTGGCGAGCTTGGCAACATGTGCGCACAATGATTCTCCGGCAGATTCAGGTAAACTCACCGTTAACCCAATGTCTCCAGCAGATGCGACCGCCGTCAACTCCATAGCAGCCCTTGTCCGGTGCACGTCATGCAGCGGGACATCCGCTTGCGCCCGGGGTTCTCCTCCAAGAGGCACCTGGTCACCAGCAGCAAGCAAATGTTAAAATCTGTCAGGATCCCGCAAGATAGTCAAGCGGGTAGAGGTCAGCTTGTAAGCAATGTCAAGCCGAAAGCACAATAGAACATCTGTGTTGCAGCTCACTCTTAAAGTGCTCATCCACTTCGAATTAGCTTCACCAGAACGTTGTACGTTCCAGACCTGCTATTGTTTCAGTGACGGAAGGCAAGGTTTGGGATGGGCGGAGGCATCCTTACGTCTTCGAGGGAAGTATTGGGATGTGCAGCTCCGGGACGGGACTCACGTTCTTGGGCCTCGCCATCCTCGCTGCAGTGGCAAGAAGCTGTCGGTTGACCCCTGGCCTCACAATCTTGTAAAAGCATGTGCAGAGACGAACGACACGGCTAAAGACCCCAATGTAGAAGCATGCACGTCCGAGTCAAAAACGGAAAAGAAATTGGTTTGTTGCTCTCAAAAGATGTGCCAGATTAATAGCAGAATCGTGTTGCGTTGTTGAAGAGGGTGGGCCACACATCTCCTCTTCTTCGTGGGCAGCCCATGCAGCTCTCCGCTGCTCGCAGTGCGCAAAGAACGCGGCAACCACTCGGTCCTTCCTGGCCTTGCGCCCATCACGCCGGCTCCCCGCACCCCGCTCGGACCTTTGACCGAGGTCTTCCTCCAGCTCTCCTCCTTCCCTGGATGTTGGGGAGAAGGAGAACAGGAACAGAGTTGGCTTATGCTCCTGGATTCTTGAGTCGTTCTATTGAGCAACGCAAGCACTGAGTAGCAACTGCTATTGACATGAACGCGCACAGTTTCTATTAGAAGCAATTTACGGGGGAAAATGCGCGAGCTCTTATGCAATGCGTGTGGCACGGTGGGGGAAGCTTACCGTGCACGGACATCAGGAGCTGGTTCGTCCACGTTGTCTGCAGCATGGTCCACTTGGGCTCTGCTCGCGAGTTCCGAGACCTTGAAGAGTCTCCTCCTCCTCCCCCCCGACGGTCCTGCTTGTGGAAGCACCTGCGCACCATGTCACTTGATCAGGAAAGTGGATGATCATTTCAGGCCCAGCTGACCAGCCTTTTGAAGCAACGGCCAAAAGCTAGTAAGACGGCAAAAACAGTCGACGCCTGGTTGTTGCGAAAGAGGTTTTGCCGGACCCTGGCAATCTTCGCTGCTTGCGGCCGCCGCCTCGGCTTGGAACAAGCAGAAGAAAGAAGTCTCTGGTCAACCCGAGCGCTCCTTCTGGTCATGAAGCGCAGCGTGAATAACTATCCAACTCGTGAAGGAAAGTGCTGAAGAAGAGGAGGGAGAGCAGAGGGCTCTTGCCTGCTCCAGCGGCCTCTTTGTGCTCGCACAGGATGCAGGCAAATCCATCCGCACCTCCGCAAGTGCGGTCAGGGCTTCAGGGGCAATGGTCGCGGCCTGCAAGCAGAGATAGAAAGTTACCTTCTGGAGCTTTGATGGTGTGGCGGCCCCTGCCTTGCAAGCTTTTGTTGAATGATCTGAAGCGGCCTGATAACATACGTACGCTTTGAAGAGAGCAATCATGCAGGGGGTGGGTTGAGTGAGGTACGATGGCGCGCTCGGGGCCAGTCAATCTGCTCGCATTAAACCTCAAGGTCGTAGGGGGCAGCGCGAGGTGCGTGAGCTGTCAATCTGCACCTGAGGTTCCACACAGTCGATTCTTGACGCCAGTGCAGATTGACTCAACCCCTTTCCTGTTGTCTTCTCAGTGCCCAGAAAGCCCTTGGACAGAGGCTGTCAATTTGCACCTCGGGTTCTATACAGTCGATTCTTCACGCTAGTGCAGATTGACTCACCCTGTAATCTGCACCTCTTGTTCTACACGGTCAAGAGTGAGAAGGTGCGACTTGCCGGGTTGATTTTCAAGCCAACGCAAGATGATCACTCTGCGCGCTAACTTGAAACAGCACACAGCGTCGTTGGCAATCAGTCCACGTGGCTGGGAGCAATCAATGCATTGGTTTTGATAACATTTTGGATTGGTCCGACTGCAAAGTCGATACCCAAAGCCCCCAAAAGTGTTCGGAGCCCATGAGTCTCCTTGATTTCCGTGACAAACGCCTGCAGGGCCTGATCAACTAGTTCCGACGCAGCAATGCCACCCCTCGCAGTTGACTAAAACACATCAAAGGTTGCTCACATGAAGAGGATGCGGTACTGCAGCGCCGCCGCCGTCAGATGCTGGTGCGTCTCCTCCTGATGCTGAAGGACGCTCTCCTTCCGGGCAAGCTTCATTTGACGGTGACCATCCCGGGTTGCTCTCGATTCCGCCCATGATCAGGAGCTTTACTGCAAATGGTCGGCCGGACAGCATTAGCTATTGACGCAAATAGGCAGACCTTCATTCACGACCGCAGTAATTGAATAGAGTCAACAAATCGAGAGCAGGCGCCGATATAGGCCCGAAGTTTTGAAGGGTCAGGGCTCAAGCTGCCGTTTTTGAGCTTCGAACCCCATCTTGCGCACAAGTTGAGGCCTTCTCAGAACCACCGTCCGACATCCAAGTTTCAAAAGATGCTGAGCGCAACATCTATGATTTGAGAACCAGATGTGAGCCGAGTCTTATCACCCAAAACCTGATAATCCGACCGACTTACCTATCAGGATTCTGCTTTTTGGTGTTGCATCTCCCCAGTATCCACTTTCCTGCCATTTGTCCCAACCTGTGGAGGAAAAGCGATCATGTTCTGCATGCGAGTAGAAAGGTCCCATCGAACTGAGGTGTGAGCAAACAGCTCGAAAGGTTGACAGAAGTTCGTGATCGACAAGATTGAAACAGCTGCATTAATAGAGGTCAAGTGCAACTTGACGATAGCCTTGGCAAAGTAGGGTATCTTGTGCTGTCCAATGAAACCAAAAGTCAGAGCACATTTTTTGCCTCAAACAAACCCTCACCCCGAATGCCTCTCAGAAGCGACTCCTCGTCAAGCGCTCGCGCCAGCTCTGCCTTCAATCCGTACACTACACGGTCACGTGCCCATTCTGGGAAACAAGACGCGAAGGTCTTTATTATGAGTGCTCACTTGCGGGACACATTGGCCGGCTAATTCCCGCCAACATGTCTACAGACTCTGCATACTTGCATGCTTGGGGCTGGTGCAGCTCCTGGTCGAGTGATCAATACAATCGTCTCTGAGCGCCGTCACACGCCTGCACTCCGGCAGTTGCACAAGGCGCACCTGCCCGGGTTTTCTCGAATTTGAAGCAGCCCGTGACCTCGCGATGCACACCACAGAAGTACTGGAGGTTGCTCCCTGCCCTGCTCCCGCGTATTGCAAAGGTCGCGGGGTTGCTGCATTCTCCGCAGAGGAAGCCGTGTGGAACTGAAAAAGAAAAGCATGAAGAGCTGGGATTAGAAACGAAAACGGGTGAAGTCCTGGTTGACTCGTGTGGGCATAGACGCTTGCCTTCTCATACCTCTAAACATATGCACGAGAGCTCTGAGAAACTGTACGGTTGCAGACTCAAGGACCCTTTTGCTAACTACAACGTGCCAGAAAGTCTCGGGCATGGTCGGCAGTCAATCTGCACCACTTGACTATACATTCAAACCTTTGAAAGCGTGCATTTTGACTTGCGTCTGCTATCAATTACAACGTGCCACAAAGTCTGCGATCAACTACAACGTGCCAGAGAGTCTCGGCCATGGTCGGCAGTCAATCTGCACCAGTTGACTATACACCAGACCTTTAAAAGCGTGCATTTTGACTTGTGTCTGCTATCAACTACAACGTGCCAGAGAGTCTCGGCCATGGTCGGCAGCCAATCTGCACCACTTGACTATACAACAGACCTTTAAAAGCGTGCATTTTGACTTGTGTCTGCTATCAACTACAACGTGCCAGAGAGTCTCGGCCATAGTCGGCAGTCAATCGGCACCACTTGACTATACAACAGACCTTTGAAAGCGTGCATTTTGATTTGTGTCTGCTATCAACTACAACGTGCCAGAAAGTCTCGGCCATGGTCGGCAGTCAATCTGCACCAGTTGACTATACACCAGACCTTTAAAAGCGTGCATTTTGACTTGTGCAACCTGCCGGTATGTCTCGGGCATAGGCCAAAGCCCCGGACAAAGCTTACAGTCTGACTCTCGCAAAGGGCCGATCAGGAGCTTCGATCAAAGTTGGCCTGATCAATGCGTCACTCATACCTTCGTCCCCAAAGAGGTAGCTGGCCAGCTCCTCCCTCCCTCTCCTCGCTTTCCCAGATGCGCCACCAGCTGGGGGTCGGGCCTCATTCGTGGCAGCAGGGCTCGCGGGCGTTGGGCTCGCAGTGGTCCTGTGAGCTTCATGGGAGGCGCTTGCTGGTTGCTGCAGCCCCTCAAGGTGGGCCTGCTTGATCGACGTTAGAACATTCTCGAAGACGTATTGCAGGCCCGCATCTGGAGTGCTCGCCAGACCCTCGAGCCCTGCCACAGCTGCACGCAGGCCCCCAACCCAGGCCGCCTTTGTCCAGAGAAGGCCGACGGGCCCGAGCTCCTTCTTGGCACACCGGCACACGAGCCCCGCCACCTTCCGGAGGATCCGGTGGCCCCTCTTTGACTTCGTGAGGAAGCCGCGCGACGCGCTCGCCACGAGAGCTCTGATTGCAGACATCGGAAGAGCATCGCTGCGGGATGCATTGAAAAGAAGAGCATCCTGCAGGAAAATGCAGCAATACATCAGGAACCCCCATGCCCCCTACAATCCACCACAGGCAGGGATTGCCTGAGAAGCACAGACAAAATGCACCGGCAATCTTTACATCTGAGCTTGTTAAATTACGCATATTGACCCTTTTCAATCACCCATGTGTGGCAAAAGCGGAGGCAGGGGAAAGGCTGGGGGGGCGCAGTCAAAATGCAAGGTCAGTCTTTACACACAGCTTCTCAGGAACGTGCAGATTGACTGCCTTCATTTCTAACCACCACAGAGGCATGCTGGGGGGCCACGGCTGAGAGAAGCAGTCAAAATGCAAGGTCAGTCTTAACACACAGCTTTTCAGGAAAGTGCAGATTGACTGCCTTTGCTTCTATTCAATGCAGAGGCGCGCAGATTGGGCAACGGCTGAGAGATGCAGTCAAAATGCACGGTCATACTAGACAATCAGCTTTTTCAACGAAGGCAGATTGACTGCCTTCTTTCAAAGCCTACTTTCAATCAACTGTACATTGGAGCGCAAGGACGGCGCGACTTGGGACGCAGTCAAAATGCACCAAGGTGATACACATCTGAGCTCCAAAGGCAGCGCAAATTGACTGCCATCTTGCAATCAATTACAAGAAAGCGCAGAGTCGGGGGCACGGCTGAGACGCAGTCGAGAGGCAACCACAGTACTATACATTTGAGCTTCAAGGGCAGTGCAAATTGACTATCTTCTTGCGATCAATCACAACATAGCGCTGAGTCGGGGGCACGGCTGAGACGCAGTCAAAATGCATACTTCATCTAGACAAGCAGCCTTCCTGAAACGTGCAAATTGACTGACCTGACGGATTCACACAACTACAGTGGGTCCTGGCATCGACTACACGATCTCTCACTCACGTGCTCGTGTCCGACCCTCAATCTGTTGAGGAACTCCAATGGCGCAACCCGATCAGTACGCGCCCGCGTGAATTCTTTAACTTCCTGCACCACTAGAACGCGCAGTCAGAGAATCTATACATTCAGCTCTTCAAAATACGCGCTGAGATTGAGTGAAGGTTTGCCCACAGCCGGAAACGTAGTCAAAACGCACATTCAATCTTAACAGAAGGTTTTTTCTTATCGTGCAAATCAACTGAATCATTTCTACAACCACAGAGGGAGCGCAGCGGCGGCCACTGCTGAGGGGTGCAAACAAAACGCACAGGTTATGTATACAATCAGCTTTTTTAATCGTGCATACTGACTGACTTGGTTGTAGCAACCAAAGCCCCCACTCACTTGCATCTCGGCGTATGGTGACTCGATGGCTCCTTCGTCTTGCCACAGCAAACTGTCGTCAATATTCATCACTTTCCGCCACTCTACCATTCGCTTCGTTGACCCCTCTTCAGCTGACTTTGAGCTGGTCAGTCACGTTTGAAGCCTCACCCGAAATCATGATCTGCATTTCATCAATGCATGGAACATTGCGTCAGTGCCTCGCAACACCTTTTCAAACGCCTTGCGGTCGTGCAATCAGCGGTGGATTTTCCCCAAACAAGTCCCACCAACTCCACACCTGGTAAGAAACTTCCACTGCGGGCAGCAAAAAAATCCTGACCGTGACCCTAAAACGCTGGGCCCTCAACTGGTCCTCCAGCAGGAAGCTCCCTTCTTTAGGTCTAATTTGAAACCTCCAAATGCATTAGAGTCAGCCCCCTCCTTGAACTTTCCTGAAGCCGGCAGGACGCAAAGCAAAGGGACAACTTTTGCAACATAGGGACGTCAGTCAGCTCGGACCCCCCTTGAAATCAATGGACCAGAAAGACCGCTAAGAAATTGGTGGACCCCGCTACTTCAGCGTTCCAGGTCCCCCGCTGTTCTGCAGACCAGCACGCCCGCTGATTCCAGCGGACCCCCGCTGATACAGCATGCTGGATCCCCGGTTGTTAAGCAAACAAGAATACCCGCTGAGCTCAGCGTATGCCCGCTGACTTTAGCAGACGCCTGCTGATTATCCAGACCAGAACGCCATGAAAGCAAGGTCAATCTAGGTTGATTTTCAGGCCACTTAGGTGTACAACTGAAAAACAAGCACCAGATCGCGTCCCCAGCTGCCTGGGCATAAAATGTGCACAGAAAGTGGACTCACCTTATCTTTACGGAGACCCTGCTTTCTTCTGGCCTGCCTCCTTCTCTTCGATCCTCTTTCTCTAATTTGCGAGCTCTGACAATGTTGCGAGCGGGGTTGAGAGCCGCTCTGTAAGCTTTCCCAAGTGAGAAGCAGCCACGCCAATTGGCCAAGGGGCGCCAAAGCCCGCTGCCTTGCCAAGATGTCTCTGGAAACATCGGAAGATGTCTTTGGAAACATCTCAAGCCGTTAAGGATGCTTGGCAACGTGGCGGCTAGGGGCATCATGGACTGCTGAGGTTTGCCAAGGAGCGCCAAGATGTGCTGATATCCGCCAAGCGCCGCCATGACTGCGAAATGCCGCCAATGGCCGCCACTGCCAGCTCAACTTCTTCTCTGGCAGCTCTTGGAAGCTCAAAGCTGGCAACTAGGCAGGGTTGCTCGCATCCAAGTTGAGAACGGTTTGCCAGCAGACTGCAACTTGAAACTGCGGCGCGTTAACACACACACACGAGCCCGGTATAAATGGGTCGGCAACGCCAACAGTCCGAAGA